TATATATATATATATATATATATATATATATATATATATACATATATATACTCGCATTTAAGAGCGTAAAAATTAAGCGTGCAAATAAATATACAAGAAATGTGTCTAAGGCTTTTAAAAAATTTAAAAGCGTACGCTTAATGTACGTACAAACACGCGCACAAGAAAGCACATAATAATGTGCTACATGAAAATTGAATCACTCATATGTGCATACTTTTATATTCAGATCAATTGAGGTTAAAAATAAATCTGTACACGTGTAACTCGCAATTTTCAGTAAAAACTAGCAAAAAATTGTACGACATTAAATCTAAATATCCACAAATATAAACAAAAAAATGTAATAACAGTTAAAATTTTTATACGCTTGTGAAGATAAATGGAAGGCTACAAATGAATAGTTGGAAAAATTGGACAGCTTAAACACACGAGATAGACACGTTTGCACACGTAAAGAGACATTTAATGAAGAAAAATAAAAAGGGAGAAGTGCAGAGATACACAATCACACATTGTTGAAAACAATATTACTTATGTACACTTAATTAGACCGACAGGAAAAATGAGTTTGGAGATGGTTGATTGCAGATCGATATTATTATTTGTCATAATACCATCCCTTCATTTCATTTCATTTCATTTCAGTTCATTTCTTAGCTAACTTCTGAAATCGATTTGGAATATTTTAGCAACAATTACATATGTTATTGCGCAGAAAATAATATTAAGCATATGAATAAATGATCTAGCAAAGAATAGAATATACAAGGAGCTATTAAAGCACTTCTGCTTCATAAATAATAACTAGCTTTCTGTTTAAGTTACACCAAAGTGCTAACAAAGTAAGCTTATTTCTTATTGCGTGCTAGAAAAGAATAACAGTCTTGATGTACTCATTCATCTTTCAATAATGTTTGGTATTTTACTTAAAATCATTACTAAGTATGAGAAACAGGTGATCGAGTTCACGTTAAAAAAGGGATAAAACATGCAGTTGGCATATAAGTAAATAACATGAATGCTTTGCTTTATAATTACATTTAACGATAGTAGATTGTTAAATGAACGCATAGGGAAACAGACAATTGCTTGTAGATTGTATTATTGATATAAGTTCAAATTTATTTATTTGTCGTTCGTTCAATGCAAGTCAAATAATTTTAGTTGTCATAATCATCGTCGATATGAATGAATATCTGTCGGTGAGATTGTACAGTAAAGTCAGGCAAAAATAAATACAACGATTAAAAGGATATTTAAAGTATCTCTAAAAGAAGGGTCAAATCAAGAATATTTGCAAAAGATTGTACTTGCAAGAGGTCATATTTGCAAGAGGTCGTATTTGCAAGAGGTCATGCAAAATGGATGTTCATGAAGAGGAAGTAATATTACGGTCATGATTATTGAATTAGTAGAATGAATGAATGAGTGAATGAAGGAATTTCTTCCAATCATTTTGGATCATTGCTCTTAGACTTCAGAATGTCTGCTTTTCTCCAAATGATTACCAATGAAGACTGGACTGTCAGTAATAGTCTTGAGGTGCAATGCAAGTGCATAGATTTGTACTAAGTATATTTCTAAGCAAGCCAAATTTTTGTCTATTTTTCTAAAATTTTACCAAATTCATCAATTTGATCAATAAATTACGGAATTACGAAACGTTAGATACTTACTACACGTAAGTATGTTGCATCAATCACGCTGTTCAATCATGATTCAGCATTTATTTATAAAATGGAATAATAATTAAAAATGAATAAAAAACACGTCATTTTTTCTTTATGAATATATTTATCATACATTTTTAAGTAATACATAGCAATAAAGTATTGGATGAAAAATATTAAGTTGAATTTTTTAAAATTGTTTAATTAAAATGAAAAGACTTTCATTTAAAGATGTAAGAACTGAAGAGAATAGCGTTTACTACGGAATTTATTATTAACATTGAGAGTTGAAGAATTTACTTACTACTTCCAAGTGGATAATATGGCATTTGACACATTATCAGTTTCAGGTTAATATCTGCTCAGTTTGATGAATGCAAATGGAGGAACTATCATTTCCCCTCAAATCGCTGCTATGAACTTTACATCTGTTCATTTGAAACAAACTTAGCAGCAATTTGCAAGTTATATTCCATTATGAAAAATACACTCTTGAATTTATTCATTGACGATTCTTAGATAAATCTAGTCACTAATTTGAGTCTGACTTTTTTTCCAATTAGTTATTCAGTATTTTCAACATTATGTCCATATGATCACATAATTAATCACATAATCAAGAAAAAAGTATTGAAAATATTAGATCAATACTTCAGAATCATTACTATTGTTGTTAATCCTGTTAAATTATGCTGAAACTAACAATAAGTTAATTAAGTAACAGAATGTGATAAGAAACTTGCATTCTTTTTCGATGTCAGTAATAGTCATTTTTCATCAAATCGCTCTCTATATCATTATTACTCTTAATAATTTGCCAACATTTACTTTTATAATTATTATTTGCATTCATTTCTTTATATGGTTGAAATTACTGCTTCAGTAACTTACCATTTAATTATCAAATAGCTTTCATGATAGCATAAAATCTGCAAGTAATAATGATTAATTTTGATACAAATAATTTGATTTGTATGTTCGATAAATATCTTATCGATGTCTGTATAATTCATTAGATGCAAAAAATTTCTTGACGACTATAGCAATTGTTGCTTAAAAGTTTGTGAAGTTCCAAAGTTCTGTTTGCTTTGTATTACACTGTTTCTTTTTCTTTAATATTGTTTGCAGTATTTAACTGTGATTTTGGATATTATTAGCATTAAAAATTTCGCTCTGCTGTTTTCATACTAAATTAAATCATCATCATTATCGTAAATCATCATTATTATCGTTTCAATAACTGTCACTATAAAAATCATTAACTTTTTTAAAGAAATTAGAGAAGGCTATTTAAAATGCGAATAATAATAATACAGTGCAATAATTTTTCTTAATAATAGTAATAATAATAATTATTATTAATTTATAATCAATCATATCAGTTAGAAGCGATAGGAGTATTTTGGATTTGAAATTGAAATTATTTGGTAGAGAAGACAACTACAAAAAAACAAAATATTTTAGTGGAAAACAATGATATCCATAGTCAACTCTTTTATGAATATTTCTCAAAAATGCGTTTGTGTTTGGTTAATTAATTAATAATCTGAAATAAATGAAATTAGAGTAAGTTGTGCATTAACACTGCACAATTGTTAAGCCACAAAAATTTTGAAGATTCCAAAGCTCATTTTTGTTCTTTACTAATTCATTAATATTGGCACCACTCGCAGCTTTTGCATTGAGCAGTGAATTTTCTTCATATACTTTTTCGCTTTTTTTCAGTAAATTGTAATGATGTTTCAGTAGTTCTGAAGTTATTTCTGACTGTGAATTGAGATAAGTAAGGTCGTTATGCATGATAGGGGTCACAGTTATTGACTTAATAATATGCAAGATTCAGACAAACGAAGTTTCTGAAAGTGACCTGAATCATAGTAAAAATTACTGACTTTGTTGGAATTAATTGAGTGAACAATAGAATAAACAAATCATTAAATTTATTTATCAATAACGACCTTATTTATCTCAAGTGATTTGCATTTGTTGATGATTCACTTTTATTAAATAAATAAACAGCTGTTGGCTTACATCAGTCTCAGATTGTTTATGATCTGTTCTAAACAAAATCATTCCAACTATGTATTTACCATCACTTCACATTACCTTTCTTCTTCACGTCTAGATATCATCTGCTAGCTGTTTCCCTGTGTACTTGATTACATTTATAAAATCGCTATTATTATCACATTTTTAGGTCTTAAAAAATGCCTGCGAAAGATTCTCCTCTACTTTTATTCATCATTTTTGTCAATATCTTAGAAAATAAAGCTGATAAAGTAATTGATTTGACCTCTAGAAATGGCTACAATATGCATGCCTGCTATAAACAAACAGGTAAAATCTATCAGCACAGGTAAGATTTTCCTTGTTCATTACTGTACAATATCATTTCAAAAATATTCAACTTTCTTAAAGTTTTTTCAAATTAATTACTAATCCAATCATACGATTTTGTAGCACAATTTAATTAAAGATTACATTTTTTTACTTGAAAAGAGTGTTATAATCTATAAATTCATTTTAAACAATTGAAAAACTTATAAATAATTCTTACAGTACTGTTTTTGCAGTTAAAAATATTTTTTGTTAAAAATTATCAAATGTAATAATTTGTTCAGCAGTAATTAATTATTTTTGGAATAGTAAATATTGCTAAGACGCAAAAATTTTCGAAAACAAGACATATTTGAATAATTCAGTAATTCATTCTTGCCATTACAATTATTCGCAATGTTTGATAATATTTTTGCTTTTTACTTTAAATTTTTAATTTAGAACTTATCCAAGAGATTATGAAAAAAATGATTACAATTTCGGTGATTTACCTGAAAATTGGGATTGGCGTAATGTACATGGCATTAATTATGCGAGCGTTGATCGTAATCAGCATATTCCACAATGTAATTTTTAATTTCAATTAATTGGAAACAAATCTTGCATACGTGCGTCTAATTTAAAAACTTAACAGCAATTTGTCTTAGCTTTTTCAAGATAGGCAAATTATTTCATGTTGAATTATTGTAATGATACACAACTGTGCATGAACAATGCTTATTTTATATTATGCTTAATAAAGTACTTGAAATTAAAATTTTACTGATCCGAAAAAAATCATTAATTAATCACTTGTTAACGTACTTACTTCATTTGTGATCTGTAATGACAAATGTATATTTTCAGCATTGCTTTTTTTTGTTTAACTCTCTACAAGGCTTTCTTTCTACAATTGACAAAATCATAGTTGTCAAATGAAAATATATTATGCCTTTTATATTCTGTTATATTACAACATCAATTGCATTCTATTATAACGTAATTATTATTTGTGAGACATTAACAATTCTGATTAATAATTTTAAAGGATTTTTATTCATATAAATTTCTACATCGTGAGAATCTGAAGCACTGCTAGAAGTAAGCATGATTTTTGATTTCTTTGCAACGACTTTAAATATTTATATTACTTATTATTCTTCGGATATTTGCACTTAAACTTTTATTACATTTGCAGATTGCGGATCATGTTGGGCTTTTGGTATGTTTTTTTTGACTTCTTTGAATTTAATTTCATTAAATGAAGCACCATTACTAGTTCAGTCTCAAATATGGTCAAAAAGGATAATTACTTTGGAAGTAATAACAGTGATGTCCTATTTAATTACTTTAATACAAAAAACCAAAAAAAAATGATTTGTAAAGTTGCAAAAATTATTTTGAATATTTCATGTTCCACAAGTGCGCTCGCTGATCGTTTCAATATTAAGAAGAAAGGTGCATGGCCACCAGCATATTTATCTGTCCAAGAAGTTTGTTTTTTAGTAAAAATTTGTGAGCAGAACATTTTAAGACACTTGAAAGATATTCAAATTTCTATAAAATGTTTCGAAAGATTATCAGGGCGAGAACAATGCTTTTCTGATAGTATGCAGGATGGATTATCCTTCGATGACCTGATTTCAGGTAATTGACTGTGCTGGAGCAGGTAGCTGCGAGGGCGGTGAACCTGGTGCTGTTTATAAATATGCCCATGAGCATGGCATACCGCATGAAACATGCAATAATTACCAAGCAAGAGATGGAAGTAAGATTTATTACTTTTAAAATCGAATTTTCACATTTAAATGCAAAAAATTAGCATTTTGAATGTGCATAAATCGCTTTGTTTGTATACAATAACATTATATGTGATCAAAATTCTCTTCCATATGATCATAATTCACTCAAGACAATCAGTTCAAATACATAATTTGAGCTTGTCTTGTCTATTATTAGATCACATTAATTGCATAAAATTATTGGCGGAGCTTGCCGAAATAATATTCAATTTATCACTGCTTAACATACAAGGAAATTCGTGAGCCATTGATAATCTAATAAACACTTTTCAAAAAATAGAAAGCTGTAAGATTTTAAAATTTATTTCCACCAAAAGAATTTACTACACTCTTAGTAAAGTGTCTTTAATTTATAGAATGTACAGCTTACAATAAATGTGGTTCTTGCTGGCCCGGATCATGCTTTTCGATCAGGAACTTTACTCTGTATCATGTCAGAAACTATGGTGCCATCAGAGGATTAGAAAATATGAAAGCTGAAATCTATCATTACGGCCCAATTGCGTTTGTTTTTCTTTTTCAGCATTGCAAAGCAAACAAAAGTGCTACACTTTTCTTTGAATTTTTGATCTTAAAATATTATCGTATAAAAATAGCTACACTGAAACAAATATTAAAAGCTTTCAAGTTAATGCTCAGAAAGAAACTTAAAAATCAATACAAGTGAATGATTATTTTTAAAACTGCAAATTAAAAAAACTTAGTCATAACTATTAAAATTCTTCATCAAATGCTCTCAGATGTGAATTGACTCAAAATTTATGATTGTGATTTGAATACCAAAGTGATTTCTCATTTAACTGTTACACTGATTCTGAAAATCTTTCCGTGGCTTAAGTAAGCATCAGTTCATAATTGAAATCTCGTCAATGAATGCTGCCAAGTATGAAAAATTACAGCTGTGGGATTGCTGCTACAAAAACATTTGAAACATACGGCGGTGGGATATATAAGGAATCGACGGATGAAAACATTGATCACATTATATCAGTTCATGGCTGGGGAGTAGATCAAAAATCCGGCACTCCATACTGGATCGGCAGGAATAGCTGGGGAACACCTTGGGTAAGCGTGAGAATTTTATTGCATCAAAATTATTCAATTCGTTATAGCCTCTAATCTTAAGAATCTCTTTTTTCAAAAGCAACCAAAACCCATAAAACCAATGAACTGATTAGTTTTTACCTCATAAATTAATAATAAATATGTATGAGTGTATAGGTGAACTGACAAAAAGTTTATCTTAGAAACGTTTTTCACATATGTCTGAAATGTCAATCAGAATTTATTGTAAAGACTGCAATGTATAATGCGAACAAATCTCATGTGAATATGAACGATAAAATTCATATCCACGACAAATATAAATGGTAGTATTTCTTTAGGGTGAAAATGGATGGTTTCGAATAGTAACATCAGAATACAATAACTCCGGCTCCAAATATAATTTGAAAATTGAAGAAGACTGTGTCTGGGCTGACCCCTCTGTATAAATCACATTAACTGTGATTTTTCTGTTAAAAGCTTTCTGAACCCATTTTTTCAAGAATGAAATAAAATAAATGAAACAATATAAATATCTATTTTATGATTCAGTTATTTTGAAATATATACTTGCTACTAGTATTTTTACGTGTATTTTCCAAAAAAAAAATGCAAATATTTTCATTAAATGACATCTTCTGCATCTCATGGTTAATCTTTGAAGTTATCCCTAAATCTTAACAATCTCTGTAATGTGGAATACATCATAGAGTTTGTACAACAGCAAAGCAAAATGATCATGTTTGCACCATAAATACTAGAACCCCCTGTACTGTAGTACAAGACGTAAAACATAGTTTGAAAACCAAGCAATAAATAGAACGATATATTAACAACTTCTATCAAAACTTAATAGCTGCTCTACAATGGTTGCAATATAAATCTCTATTCTGACTTAAGTTCAACTAAAAATTTAAATAACGTACATCAGCTCTCTTCCAAAAACGAAAACTGCATATTCTTAGCTTTAAACACAAAATACTACTTTATACTTGCTAAAACATAGCAAATATATCTGTTTTTATGTTGGTGGCCAACCAAGCTGCTTTCCACCAAGCACATGAACATGAAGATGGTATATACTTTGACATCCGTGCCTACCATTGTTGATAACGACTCGATAGCCATCTTTTAAATCTAACTTACGTGCTGCCTTGCTCGCGGCAACTAATAATTTCCCAAGAATTGCTTCATCCTAAAGTTTGAATTCACAGTTTAGATCTCATGCATTTAAATTTACGCCGTAAAAACCAAAATGAAATTACTTTGTAAGAAACAAATTGTTAGAAAACAAAATCTCAAATTATTTTTGTAGCAAATATCTAATTTCCTTGCTTATTCCCATTTTCCCTCCTATTATTAAAAAAAAAAATAACGCAAACCCTAATTACTACTACATCGAAAGCCTAGTTTTAGCTTCACAGCCTAAACAAGCGCTTAGACTTCACAGACTAAAGTTGCTTTGATTTCTGAAAGTTTTACTCAAGATTTTATAGTTTGCATGTTCGTTTTAAATTCTTTTTATGTCACTTGAGTAGATAAAAGTAGGCAATAAAATATTTAGTGACCTACTTATGGCGTTGTGCCTCTTATACTTGAGCTTATCTTCATTTTTCAGTATTTGTATTATAACAAAGGTTATACAACTTATTGAATATTTTTCGTTAGGTGAAGGATGAAATCATGTCTGTACTCTCTATACTTACTTGATCTTTGGCATCTTGCAGCATTGCAATCGGCTTCTTAGGTATAACCAAGAAATGTATCGGTGCTTGTGGATTGACATCGTGAAAAGCCATTGTCTAAAATTTATTAAAAAATAACATGACCTGCAACGATATGTGTGATGTAATTGTTGCTCAGAAGCCAATTTTACTTATTACTCAGATTTTTGGTACCACTGGTATTAAGAAATAATTCGTCCCTTGAAGAAACCAATTGTTAAAATGCCCAACTTATCGTTCGCAAAACTAATAAATCATATACTGTCACTGCAAGACTTCATACAACCTGCTGTACGGAATCAAATACAACAAGCACTACTGAAGCATAATGCAGTAATGATCCACATACTTGACTGATTAGTTTCAAAAAGGGTCAAAAAATCTTTCACTTACATCATCATCTTCCATAATGATCTGAGCGGGTATTTCTTTGCGGGCAATTTTACCAAAAATAGTATCGCCACCAGGACCAGCCGTCTGAGCTTTGCATACTTCTGATGCCATTTTTCCTAATATATTAGCGTTCCACTGTCGATATTGTTGAGAAATTTTACAAAACGCATACATTCGTTGTAACAGAGTGGAAGAATTAGGCATTATCGGCAAAAATTTCATTACGAAATGTTTAAAATTAAAATATTTCCATCTCATTCTGAATGCGTTCAAATACTGCTCACTTATATGATTAAGATTGTCTTCGAGTAAGTAATACTTATAAGTACTTTTATAGGTTAACTGCGTAGAAAGTGAGTCAGAAGACTGCCAACAAGAGACCGCAGCCAACGCAAGCAGTTAAGAAAATTCGTTTTTTTTTTCCAGAGAACAAAAGATGTATCCAAATTTGAACTTCATTTTTTGTCTTGAATTTAAAACATAGAATAACACTTATGCTCACATATTGACTCAAAGTACTCAAATCTCTAGGTATCAAAAAGTTTTCGAGATATATTTCTCATGAAAAAATTGCTACTGATAATTGTAAGTAACTCATTATTCAAAGCTATTTTACAATTAGAAGCAGAATAATCAAACAGCTGAATTCAACTGCAACAATCAATCGTCATGCGTTTTCGCAAATAGCTGACTGCGACAATTAAACTTTGTAATTTAAATGAAGGAAAGAACGTGACTCGCTAAGAAATAAAAATGGTCACATCTGTTTGAAACTAACATTTGCCAATTTTTCTACTCCCTACTAAGGCAGCTAGTTCATTTCTTGTTGGCATATTACAGATTATTAATTTGGTTGTCAGATTTATCGCTGTTTGGCAAGACTTATTCTTCGCCTGTGTTGCATAGTTTACGCATATATCTTTTTTTTTCAATCTCAGAAGATTATCATTCGGCAGCGTTTAAATTGGTGTCAAATTTCACGGAATGTCATTTAACGGTCAGCAAAATGTTTGCTTCGGATGGAAAATTATTCCATCTTTGATATATTAAATATGTTTCCAGACTAAAGAAATTAATTTAAGAGAGTCAAAGTGGACGTCCTGAGCGTTTATTGAAGCACAAAATGACAGAAGTATGTCAGACGTCTTCTCCGGTGTCAGCTGATCCTGGCGAAGTAATGAAGATTGAGACTCAAATTATGTGTATGAGTTTCCGTCCACCTCTATTCGATGATAAAATATTCAAAGACGAGTGTATGTATTGCTTTAAAACCCCTCTTGATGCAGGTTGGTAATAGTTGCAGAATTGGTAATTAAGCTATTCAAGATTATCAGTGGAAGAAAACGTTTTCAAGTAAACACTGTCACGTGTAATGATCAGTCTTTTAACTCTGAATTTGCATCTGTCAAATTCAGTCGTCAAAATGTATTTCATTGATATGAACATTGAGGTTGTGTCTTATATACTGAGCAATATTAAATATCATTGTTTTCCAAAGTTCAAATTCTGTAATTCGAATTGTATAAGGTTGGATATTAGGACTGCTGTTGAGAATTTGTTAATAGTTCAAAGAAGAAAAATAGTTTGCGAAATTTTGTTTTGCTCAATATCTAGTTTCCGTAATTTTTTTCAGATGGGTTATTTATCTGCTTGGAGAGGTTTGCTGGTTTCTGCATAGATCATGTATTGATTTATTGTAAGCGAACAGCGCGAAAAGCCTTTCTATGGTATAAGCAAACCAAAGTTTTACTTACTAAATCCGAAGAACCAGAAGATAAAGTGACGAAGGTGTGAAAAGTGTTAGCGGAAATATATTTCTTGTCATTTTTGATTTTGCAATAATTTTTAGTGATTACTGTAGTATTATGAGATATTTATCTCATTGTTCTACTGAAAAACAAGAGTTCTAAAAACTGTTCTAGTGTTTACGGGCATCAAAAGTAATTTGTAATCAGATCAAATTAGTGTAGTAATTTCTTTAAATACTATTATCATTCAAACAGTTGTGAAACTTAATAAACAGCAAGTATACATTTGACTTCAGTTTCAGCTATCAAAAGTTTATTTGACTCATTATAAAAAATTACAGTTAGCGCTTGGTGTTGAAGGAGGTTTTTCCTCTGGCCTGCAGTTCCGTCTTGTTGATGAGTATGCAGTTATTATATGCCCCATGTTTCATATAAAAGTCTCATTGAGCAGGTTTGTTTGATAGAATAATCTGTATTGTAGATCAGCATTATATTTTTAAAATGTTGATTTATCAAGAATTCATAACCTACCTGTAAGACTTAAAAAATTTTGTTTTCTTAGTCCTCAAAATTGGTTTAATAGCAATATTTGTAACAAGTTTCATAAAATAAAAGTAGCAAAATTCTTTTTGGAGGTGATTTTCGGAGTTTTGATGAGATCAGTCTTGATCTAATCTTTGACTACAATCTCTTAAGTCTTTCAAACTATATTTTTTTATAGACTCCCACCAAAGACACAAGAAGTTTGCCAGAAAATTATTGATGATGAAGGTGTACGAAGACAAGAGGCGCTAGAAGCTGGAGTCAGTGTATGGGAGGGTGATGAACGAAAGAATACTTTGCATTTAAATTTGAAACAGGCAAGTCAATCCCTATAGTTTCATAAATGTAAGCTTTAACTTTTCTGTAGGACTAAAGTGTAATATTCTTTATTGAGATTCCAAATGTTGTTGTTGATAAGTTTTTTTGGTCTAAATAGTTTACATGCATGTAGGAAGACAATGGAAAACGAATACCACCTCGAGGATGGAAATGTGAGGAGGAAGGTTGCGATCTTAGAGAAAATTTATGGATGAACTTGACCGATGGTGCAATCATGTGCGGCCGTTCACAGTATGTACAAGAAGGAGTGATGAGTAAGGGTCAGAATCACGCTCGACTGCATTTTGATTTGTATGTTTCATTTCAAATGTCTGATTAAAATTTGTAATATTAAAATTTTCTTAGTTTTTCTCAAATCAAATTACTTGCTTTTTGGCATTTAAAATACTCTCATACCATATTTATAACATCTTGTGATGAGATATTGAATGTTCTGAGGTTTGAAGATGTTTCACTTGTGGAGCACTAAATCAGGTTTTTTGGAAATAATTTTTTAATCTAAAAATTACAACTGTGTATCCATATTGTTGGCAGAAGGTTTCACTCTATCATAGTTACCTTTCAGAACTGGCTACCCTTTAGTTGTTAAGTTGGGAACGATTACGAAGGATGATGCAGATGTATTTAGCTATGATGAAGATTGTTCAGTTCGTGATCCAAATTTGAAAAAACATCTTAAGCATTTTGGTATTGATATGGACAAAGCTGAAAAAACTGAAAAGAGCACACTCGAAATGGAACTGGATCTTAATCAGAAGTATCTTAATATTTGTAATAATATTCATTGTGGTTAGATTCTTTTGTTTGTTGTATATATATATTAGAAAATCATAATTTTTAGATTAACAACTTCTTAAAAGTTTGATTTAGCGCTCTTTTATTTAAAGTTAAATAATTTTATTTTTATTTATAATTCGAAAAAAAAGACGAAAAATTTAGTATCAATGAGTCCGAATGATTTGTCTCTTATTATGTACATGTTTATTTTACTTTTAAACATGACTGTTTTTCTCGACTTTGTAGTATTAACAGATTATATTTGAAATCTGTGCAACAAAAGATAATGACATATTTTATTGAAATTAGACTTCAACTTTTTGAGCTATTTTAAGATGGGAGTGGGAAATGTGTCAGGAAGATGGAGCAAATCTCGAATTGGCTTATGGCCCTGGTCTTACTGGAATCATAAATATTGGATCATCCTGTTATATCAGCGCAGTAAGTACAGTTTTTTGATGTGATTTTTGAGGGTTAGCTTTTTTTAGAAATTCCAAGTACGCGGAAAATATTGGACAGCGCAGTTAATATTTTTTTTCAATTGTGAAACGCCCACATGCAGTTTTACTGTTTATTATTGTCTTACTGGTTATCTATAATGTTGCTACCAAGGAATGAATTGTAAAAGTAGTTTTAGTCTTTACAATTGTTGTTGCAAATCCCGGATTTTGTTAACATTTATGGAACTGAGTTCGAGAAGCATTACTTAAACGTTCCAATACTGGACTCCCATACGGATTTCAATTGTCAAACCGCGAAGGTGTTTTCAAGTTTGTTAAGTGGCGAATTTTCAAAAGTAAGTTTTGTTTTTCCGAGTTTTATCTGCAGAAAGATTCTACTTTTTTGATATAAATGGTAAATAAATTTCAGAAAGATGGCATTTGTAATGGTATAAAACCAACGCAGTTTCGAAAAATAGTATCAAGAGGGAATGCTGAATTTTCTAGCATGCGACAACAAGATGCAGATGAGTACTTAAGGTATAGTATGCTATTATTATTATTATAATAACAAATTTGTATATATATATATATATATATATATATATATATATATATAT